CAAAAAACAGAAGGAAAAAGTTAGGGGCCATTAAAAAAGGCTTTACTGACTAACATAATGAAGCAGAAGATGTTGCATACAACAGTGGTGGTTTTTAGTAGGTTTGATTGTGTAAAAAAACTTAATGTGCTTTTAGTATTTTTTTAAATTGCATTTTTCTTGCGTTTAACTTTTTGTGTATCTTTTAATTTTTTAACAAAGATATTTTTTTTCTAAACATCAAGAAGCATCACGTCTTTCATGCAGCTTTCAGCTTTGTTTTTAAATAAAGACAACTTTTTTTCTTATTTTGCAATTGTGAAGATTTGGATAAATGGATGCTAAAAAGATAAATAATTTGTAAACGATGGGTTTAAATTTCATTTAAAAATGGTAAAATATTTTGTGGAAATTGTCAAAAATAACTATTTATTATTTTAATTAAGGTAAAAATTCAAAATCATACAAAATTTTTGTTTTTCAGTATGTTTTTCAACCGAATTACTTTTTTGCTTTTTTGCTTCTTAACGAATTTATAAAAAATATCGAAATCGAAACTTCGGGCGAAACCAATACCGAAAAAGAATATCAGTCGATCACTTGTCTATGCATCAACTTTATTTTTTTATTTTTTTATATTAAAAAAAGTTCACAAATTTTTTTTGCGTTTAAAAAAATTTTTTTTAACTCTTAACAGATATAGCAGACAAACTACTATAACTTTTTCGCCTGGTGTTTTAGTTTATCAGTTCTTGGAAATAAATGTTGTAGTATATTAGCAACTTAAATTGACTCGTTAGCATTAGATTTTTAAACAACGAACAATAAATGCAACAAGGTAATCATACTAGTTTGAAATCTAGAATAGAATTATCATAATCTATAGAATCATTACAACCTGTAGAATTGTCATAATCTAAAAAACCTTCAAATCCTCCAACTCAATAAAATTGGAGGATTTAAAGGCCTTCTAACTCATTATAAGAATAATTTTCTAATTGGAGGATTTGAAGGCCTTTTAGCTCATTATAAGCATAATTTTCTAATTGGAGGATTTGAAGGCCTTTTAGCTCATTATAAGCATAATTTTCTAATTGGAGGATTTGAAGGCCTTTTAGCTCATTATAAGCATAATTTTCTAATTGGAGGATTTGAAGGACTTTTAGCTCATTATAAGCATAATTTTCTAATATTAATTTTAGGTGCGATATAAGTAAGCAATTTAATTGAGCAAAATGCAATGATGATGAAAAAAGGAGCAAATAATAAACTTAAACATAATACAAAACACAATCTAAATATGTAAAACACACGACGATGTAAATAAGCACTTTAGATGAGTTATATATAAGCAGTATAAATGAGCAAGTTAAATCAGAGATAGCTAAAGATTATTTTATAAAATTTAGAATCACAACACACAAAAAAATGCTTTTATTTTTGATATGATTTCTATTTAAAAATCACATCGGTTTTTGTGACGCGCCAATTAATAATAAAGAAGTACCAAGTACTTTTGATGAGCAAAAATATATTATTAGGTATTTTTTTAGCTCTTTATTGCTAGGTATTTTTTTGGTACTTTTTTATTATTACAAAAATCTTACTAATCCAGATTCCGAATTGACTGAAGAAATGATCATCACAATTCTATTATTTGAATACTAACTTGATGAGGACTATAATTTCAGTATAAATTCAAATTGTTGGTCTCCTCTTTATTGATAAAAGTATAAAGAATTAAGGTTTAAAGAAAGTAACTCTTTTTTTTTTTAAAGTTTTTGACAAATTTTAAGATGTTTTGTTTATTTAAATTGTGTACACAATATTTAAAAGCATGAATATGTTTGCGCTTAATTATTATTTTCAGAAAGTTAGTATAACGTTTAGCATTTGCTTAGAATTTGTTGAATGCTTTTTTGTAATTTGATATATCTTACAATAATAAAGCAGATGAATTTGTGGGTTCCACGTTTCATCTAAAATTATATCTCTAAAATGTATTTCCAAAAAAGATTTCACTTTAGATGCAAAGAAGATTTCACTTCAGATGGAAGTTTTGAGTAATCAGGTTTTGCTTAGTGTTACATCAAAATAGTGAGAATTTAAATTTATGCATGTTTTGTTTGTCAGTAGAAGTAGAACATTTTTTGTATAACAAATAGGTTTCCGTCAAACATGAGGAAAAATGGAAACTTTTTTGCGCTAAAATAAATTTTTAATTCTATCTTTTAAATAAATTATGGAGATTTGAGCACAGAAACAACACTACCACCTAAAAACATCCTCATAACACTCTGGTTGAAAGTAATTAATTTTAAAAATAAGTAAATTATTTTTATCTCTAACTCAAAAATAATAATTATTATTTTTATCTCTAACTTAAAAAAAGATTTTTATTTATTACTTTATTTATTTATTCTATTTTAGATTTCTGAATGTTTAGTTTATTTTAGTTATTTATTAACTTGATTAATTTTGTAATATTACTTTTTTTTTAATTTTAAATATAAAACATATACAATAAAATTATGAATTTTCCTAAAAATTCAGGCGCATTTTAATTAAAGGTTAAGTCGTTCACAAATGATGAGTTTCGCTTTTCCTCTAAACTATTAAAAGAGTAGAGTGAAAAAGAGTTTGAGGAAAATGATAATTTTTGGAATTCCTCCCCAAGGATTACTTTAAATAATAAATTTTTAAAATTATGATTTTTTATAAGAAGATAGTTGTTTTTTATTGCTATCGATGGATTTTTAAAATTCTTTGAATATTGATAGATGTGTTTCAGTAAATAAGTTAAAATATTGTTAAAGCCATTGTTAAAAGTTATTTAAAAAGTTATTTAAAATTATAAAAAAAAAACCTAAAATAAAAAGAATCTTTAAAAAAATTCTAATAAAAAAGAAGTCAAAAATTGTAATTATAACAATTTTTAAAAAATAAATAAAAATGAAAGTAATATATAAAAAAAACTACCACATAAAGTTAAATTATATATTTTAAGCATATTGTCAAAACAGCACGTCTATTTTTCTCAAAAAGCTACTTTTAATGCAATTTTCTTTATTTTTGTATTTCAATTAAACCCTGTTAAATGTTTTGATACAACTCACATACAGTTTTGAAGAAATCTGATCTGTTTGATAAAATACTGTTTTTCTATATTGTTCTCAGTAACGTAAGTAAAAAATTTGGATGAGGTTTTTCGATCTTCGAAAATTTAAGTTCTTGAGTTATTTATAATTTTATTATTATTATTTTTTAATATCTTCACTTCTTACAAGGCTGCAAGCAACCACTATTAGAGTTGGAAGTTACTGGAAGAGAAAAGATGAAAATTATAATGCAAGATAACAATTAACAGACGACTTAAAAGATTGCAAACTATATGAATCAGGAAAACAAGGTGAAGGAAGCGAATTCTAACGAACTAATGTTCAAGGAAAAAACTAGACGAATAAGACTTTTTGGAGCTTTTAGATCTTACAGTCATTGTAAAAGGATGAGGCTTAATTGAATGACGAGTAACACGAGAATAAGTTTTAGGTGATGGCACAAGAGACGCTAGCTCTTTAGAGTAGTGCCCTTTATAATATTTTTAAAAAAGAGAAAAAGAAGCAACATTATGACAATGTTACAATGGTTTACGATTGGTTGCAAGAGCAGATAAAATTATGTTTACAATACGTTTTTGCATCTTAACTCAAAGAAAAATGGCATCATTGAAAGATCCGCCCCCGATATGGCAACAGTATTCCACACAAGGACGGATTTGAGATTTATAGAGATAAAGAATAAAATCCGGAGTAAGAAAGTGGCAAGCACAATAGAGAGATGCAACCGTAGCATATGCTAATTTTACAATCGATTTGATATATGGTTTCCGAAAAGATCGAAAGTAAGAGTTCATCTTAGAAGATGAAGGGTAGACGAGTCATCAAGCACATTAGCGTTCATAAATAAGTTCATGACTGCTTCGATAACGATTAACTAAAAAATTGAGTTTTATCTGAGTTAAAGTTCGAATGTCAAGCAATGGATCAAATTGTTTTTCGGCTATATAAGGTAGAATGCAACTAGTGGAATTAAGAGATGATAATGATGAAAAGTTTTTAGCAAAAAATTCAGCTTTGTCTTTAGACGAGGTAAAAATATCTGAACCATGCAAGAGAGGTGGAACTACGAGGAGAGAAGAAGAGAGAGGTGGAATTTTGCTATTTTACAAATTTGCTCTTATTATATATACTGTTAATGATTCTCCAGAAAAAAGTCTCTTGAGCCTAATTTTTGAGATGAAATACAAGATTTTTTGACCTGAGTATAGCGGGCTTGGGCATTAGACAAAATCTTTTTACAATGGTTTCTTGCAATAGTAAACAGACGTCTGTTTTCTAAAGAATTATTTAAGCAATAGATACGGAAGTAATGGCTACAATTGGAAATTGCAGCAGCACAATGAGATGAAAACTGTCGAGAATAGTAAAACTTGACTTGGAATTGTCGAGAGGGAATAAAACATTTCATGCCAGCTTAAATCTAAAAAGTTACATAAAAAGCACATTTGTCAGCAGGAAGACGAAAAATTTATACCCAAGAGTCATCATAAAGAAAATCACAAAGAGTCCCAGCTTTAAAGTAGTTGTAAGAGGTACGAGGGAAATTCTGATTACTATTACTCATTACTATTATTAAACCCTAAGCTGTGTAAAAGGCTCCGAATGTGGCATAGATAATGCACATCAAACATCCACATTTGGTGTCCCTGTACAAACAGGGATACGATGGATGATGTTTTTGTTCATATGAACAGGGACACTATCCAAGTGCAATGAACAAGGACACTATCCATATCAATCTCTGCGGTCCATTGACTAAAAAAACTCTTACTATATTCATTTTTTTTTAATGTTGCAATCACTTTAGTTGGTAACTCGGAGATGATGACATTTTAAATCTCAAAAGATGCCCTCCTCTTCTCCTTCCTCAAGGGGGAACAAACTTTTAAAATAAAAAATTTTTTTTAAATGAAATGTATAAATTATTTGCATAAATTTTATTTATATCTCCTTTATTTAAAAATTCATTCTCATTACTTCATATTCCACGAACACGACCTTCAAGCAGCTGCTCTTCGGTAAATTCACGTGGGTTAGCAGTAGCTTCTTTTGGACCAAGTGTTGGACCTTTAAATCCGTTTGTTTGAGCCTTAAAAATTACACACATATATATATATATATATATATATATATATATATATATATATATATATATATATATATATATATATATATATATATATATATATATATATATATATATATATATATATATAATCATAAGATATAAATATAAAATTTAATTTATGTAAGTCTATACTAAATCTGATTTGTTCTTACTTTTCGTCCTAGAGCATGGATACCACCAATGACAGCAGCCATATTCTGGTTGTTGTCAGTAAGATAGACTGATTGAAATAAATCACCGCGTGCCACTCCGTATTTTTCGGCTTCGGTTAAAAAATTTCCTATATTTTCAATCTAAAAAGTTTATTTCTATTAGTTTGACATATCTTATGCCATGATCAACTTAATTCTTTTTTTTTAATTAAAAACAAAAATCATACATGTTTGAATTTATTAGCATTAGCCGGATGGATTTTAGGAATTGCTCCTGGTTTCAACGTATTCATTAATCTGTGTAAAAATAAAAAATAAAATTATTTTATCAACTCTACATTTATAATTTTCCATCATTTTAGATAACAAAACTTTTTTCTCTGTTTTTAAAATTAATTTTTAATTATTAAATTAAAAAATTCACTCTGGTGTTCAGAGTTCCGGAGTCCCTACCAAGGTAAAGGACAGGGTTAGGTTAAGAGTTTGGGTGATATCCCTAACCCTAAAGTATAAAATATAATAGGGTTATATTATACATTAGGGTTTGTTTCAACTTCGCTAACTAAAAACTCAGGCACGAACAATATAAACACGCGAGTTAGGAATATTTAAAAGTATAAAATCAAGTTGTAAAATCTTTACAAGTATACAGCAACAAATTACAAGTATAACACAGTTGCAAGTATACAGCAACAAGTTACAAGTATAACACAGTTGCAAGTATACAGCAACAAGTTACAAGTATAACACAGTTGCAAGTATACAGCAACAAGTTATAATTTAACGTAAGTATAAGTAAAATTTTTTGCTGTATGTATAATACTTATACGTATTATACGTATACATTTGTTGACATATCTACCATCTGCATCCAAATTAAACAGATTTAATTTGTTTTCAATTAAATTTCCTGACTTTTCCCTGACTTTTTATATTTTTCCCTGACTCAGTTATATTTTAAAGTGAGAGTTAAGTTTTGTTGTTTGGGAGTAAGTAAAAAAAAAACTTTGAAAAAAATTAAATTTTGAACAAAAGATTTTTTCCTTTGACTTATAGAAAAAAAATTAAAAATCCCTGACTTTTCCCTGATTTCCCTGACTTTTCCCTGATTTTCCTGACTTTTCCCTGGTTTTCCTGACTTTTCCCTGGTTTTCCTGACTTTTCCCTGGTTTCCCTGATTTCCAGATGGCTGGCCACTCTGTTACCTGACTAGCGAACAATCCGACTTGTTTTTCCATGATTTCGACTCAGATATCTAATGTAACTAAAGATAACCTATTTATCAACCAACTAATAAAAATTTGCAATCAACTTGAGAAAAACTTTGTCCAGTGTTTGGTTGAGGGGAAAAAAATAACGATTAAGCGTCGCTAAGATAACGTACGAGACAATATAACGGCAATTTTGAACCATTCCTTTGAACTCTGGTATATCAGAGAACAAAGACTTATATTTACAAATTTGATGGAGAAAAATATTCCAATAAGAATTTAAATTAGACTTTAGACTAAAAGTATAAACTATTAGTTTAAACTATTAGACTTTCGTTGTTTTACCTTTAAATTTTTAATTGGGTGATAAAAAAAATAAATAAAAAAATAAATAATAACCTTTTAAAATCTTGAAATTTTACTGTCATTTGAAAGCGCTTGATTAGCAATATAAGAAAAATCAGATGTTTAATTTCTTTTCTTAATTTGTATAGTAAATTGATATAAAAGTCTTTATCGCTTAACGAAAATTAATTAATGTAAACAAACAAAAAAGTTTTATGTTTTTTTTATTGACCTATTAAAAGCTTTTGATACGGTCGATTATCATATTTTAATTTATAAACTCAAATACTATGGAATAAAAAATAAACCTTGGACCTCTCTTTTTTTAATTTATATAAATGACTTGAATAAAGCTTCAAAACTAACAAGCATTATGTATGCAGATGATACAAATTTATTTATTTCTAACTATATCAATGAACTTTTTAAAACAGTAAACAAAGAACTCAGACATATATCTAATTGGTTCAAGTTTTATTTCATTCGATTACAAAAAAGCGATTTCTCCCATCAAAATTACCTCAAATCTTTATCGATCAATAAGAAATAAAAAGAGATTTTGTTACAAAATTTTTAGGTGTTTATCTTGATGAAAACATTACTTGGAATCACCATATTGATTATATAAGCACAAAAATTTCTAAAAACATGGGCATCCTATATAAATCACAAATCTATCTCAATAAGAAAGTCTTAATCCAACTTTATTATTCATTTATACATAGTTATTTAAACTATGCCAATATTGCTTGGGGAAGTACAGAAAAAAGTAAGTTGCAACGTCTTTATCTCGCGCAGTCCGTATAATTAATTTTGCAAATCGCTTCTCATTCGAAGCATTATTTCATTGAAATGAGAATTTTGAATATTTAAGAGTTAAATGTATTTAATATTTTATGTTTTGTGTATATGTGGATAAATAACTTACCCCTAGCCGTATTTAAAGATCTTTTTTCTTTTAAACCAGTCAGTAAATATATTTTGAGAAATAATAACTTTTTAGGAATATTTAAAAGTATAAAATCAAGTTGTAAAATCTTTACAAGTATACAGCAACAAATTACAAGTATAACACAGTTGCAAGTATACAGCAACAAGTTACAAGTATAACACAGTTGCAAGTATACAGCAACAAGTTACAAGTATATGTGGATAAATAACTTACCCACATATATATATAAAATAAACTAAAATATATATATAAAATATATATATATATATATATATATATATATATATTTTATATATATATTTTATTTTTTATATATTTTAAATATTTTTTTGTTTATAGAAGTTTTATGTTTATAGAAGTTTATTCCTACTTATTTTATTTATTGTTCTTATACTTTTTACTTTTTAATTTATATGTTGGGTTTTTAATTTATATTATGAGAAGATCTTCTTGATCTTTCTTCTGACATTGTTTGCATTGCAATTTTGTAAAAGTTAATCTTTTTCATTTATATACATTTTTCATTCATATATATTTGTTAAATGCTTTTTTTAAGGTTCTGACGACAAGATCCTTGCGATCTTCTTTCAGATACTTTGTTTATGTTTGTTATGTTTTAAGCCATTGTAAGTTTATATTACTATTTTTATTATGGGCTGTACAACGATTAACAAATGTAAACAATATATATATATATATATATATATATATATATATATATATATATATATATATATATATATATATATATATATATCGCAAAATTATTTCTTATCAAAGTTTTTTCTTTGTGTTCGATTGTTCAGTTTTACTATCAGACTTTCGTAATTAAGAAAAGTTAGATGTAATCAATGACTTATAATAAATAACTAACCTATGGGTTTATCTAACTAAGGGATACCTAACTAAAAGTATTTAATTCTCTAGACTCAAGACGAAAAAGAGCACCAGTGAACTAAAATCAGTTTTTTATAAGCAATGGTTTCTTGTTTAAAAATTATGTGTCTAATTTTTTCTGACGAATTATGAAATCATTAAAAATTTTGTGGAATAAAAGTGTAAAATTGTAATCTTGTTTCTGACGCGCTTTACATAATAATCCCACTTAGTAACCTTTATTTAAATACGTGAAAAAACTAGATGTGAATTATAAATACGTAGACTATAAATTTATAGTATATAAATACATATAAACACATGATTTTACCGCCATTAAATTTTAACCACCATTTTAAATTATAAAAATAGTAAATTGCGATTGGTTTGTAGAAAACGCAAGGATAAAAATAGTAAATTGCGATTGGTTTGTAGAAAACGCAAGAACAATTCATAACATCACGGTTTACAACTTTTTAATAAGTTTAATCAAAGACGCATGAATGGACGTTTGGAGCTTTAACGTATCGTTTAAAAGGAAAGATATCAGCGGTATTAACCCAGTAGGCACAGGACCTAAAAAAGACGTTTTTTGAACGTTCATAAAATGTCCAAAAATTTCTAAAGACGTTTAAGGTTGCTATTGAATAAGGAACGGCGAATATTCGTTAACATTCGGATTACGAAGTTCAGTTAAATTCGGGCTACATATACGGCTTAAATTCGTCTTTCAGTTAAATTCGAGTCTTAAAAAGTCGACTTCACCGGTCCTTACTATTGAAAACCACAAAACCCATCCACTATTAAAAATCTGAAAAACACAAAACAAATGAAATCTTTTTTCTTCTAACTTTTGTAAGGTTTAACCTCTACAAACAATAAAAAATGTGCAAAAATGGAATAAAAGTTTTTAAACTTAAAATAAAATAGGAAAAGTTTTTTTTAATGTTGTTGTAATGTTTTTCTCCGTTTCAAAAAATCTACCTTCTAACAAAGATATTTTAAGTTTGGTTTAATATTTTTTCTCTGAAAATTTTTGCAGAGATAAAATTTATTTAGATGAATGTGCTGGGTCAAAAAAGTTGAAAATTATTGGAAATACTTTTATTTGATTTTTCGTCAAAATGGCGGCTGTCTCAAAAGTCCAATTAAAAAAAATTATACAAGATAATGTAAATAAAATATTTTATTATTTTTGTTTTAAAATATTTTATATCATAATCGCTGTATAACTTCTGTATAAATCTGAAACAAAAAGTCTTCAAATTATAAAATCATTAAACTTATCGTGACCTCAACTCATAAAAAAAAAAATTCAGGTACCCTAAAATATCAAAGAGAAGATGCGAGACAAAAAAAAGTTTTGGTTTTAATCAATAATAAGAAAAATCTTCAGAATGAGATTAGTAAAATTTTATTGTATGGAGTAACGATTACGATACAAGAGTAGCGATTGCAAACAATCTCTAGTTCGATCTATAAATGATTTATGATATGATTTAAATCAAAACATTTTATAAAAACATTTTAACACCTCTTTTTTTACAAACATGTTTTTTATTAATAAATCAATTAAAATATTCTCAAATAATCTTAATTACTTAAAATGCGTTTATATTTCAACGTAATATATATATAAATGTTTTACGGGTAATAGAATATTTAGCGAAAGAGGTTAACAAAACAAAAATGTTGATAATGCCAGTTTATTTTGTAAAATGTTTTCAAAAAAAAAGACACTAAATAATATTTAGTTATTATAATATTATAATAACTAAATATTATTATATTATTATATGCGCATTATAATATTATTTTATATTTTATTATATTAAATGCGCATTATAATATTATTTTATATTTTATTATATTATATGCGCTTTATAATATTATTATAATAATCACTATAATATATGCGCCTTATAATATTATTATAATGCACATAGGATTTTATTATTATTGGCGGTGCCTCTGATCCATAACAATAAGTTCAACGTCCACCTTTTCATTTATCCTCAATTTAATAAAATTTTTAATTTGTTTTTAAAATTTTTTGTCTTTTTGTCTGCTTAAGCTAATAATTTTGAAAGTTGCAAGTTGAAAATTTCCCAATATAAATTTTCGCTAAAATTTGTGAATGTTAAATGTTATTTAATGAAGAAAAAAAACATCTTTCACTCATGTTTGCTGCGAGAAAGCAACATAAAAAAAAGGGCGTGAAAAGGATGTAAAAATGGTCGACAATGTATTAAACTGTCAGCAATTTTGGAGTTTTTTCACGTTCTATTGATCTTTAAACTGCTATTTTGGGTTGTTACATGTCTATTTTATATATATATATATATATATATATATATATATATATATATATATATATATATATATATATATATATATATATATATATATATATATATATATATATATATATATATATATATATATATATATATATATTGGTGATATACAAAAAGCTGGTTTTAATTTCATATATTGCGCCCAAACTGTTGATATTATGCCAATCAAAACCAGTATAACATATATATGCAGGGATGTAGGGAGGGAGGGGGAGGAACACAGGGAAGCATGTGCTCCCCCTCCCCTCTCGTCATGTTTTATTTGCGCCTTTCATTTGTTAAATTTACTTAAATAATAAAAATCAGAGTTAGTTAATAAAAATTAAAAAATTGTAAAATTTGTAAAAAATCGTTAAATTTAATAGTTATTTTAGTAAATACAACACGGGCAGGACAAATGGGTCACTGCTTTCTTAAAAAATAAGTTTATTTAATCGTTAAAATTATAATATTCTCTCCATTTTGAATTATTGTATGCAATTTGTATGCCCATTTGGCGCCTTTAAAAAAAGTGCTCTTCCCTTTAAAATATTCTGGCTACAGGCCTGTATATGTATATATGACAAAGTTTAGGTTTTTATATAAACTTTTGCAACTTTGATGGGGATATTATTGTATGTGAACCACCAGCTGAAGCATTAGCTTTCATGCTAGTCGGTTTGTGATGGCATTGGAAAACACCCATTATTTTATTAAATAAACGGAAGTGATTTAACATGTTTTATTGAAAATATTTTAAATGTGGCTGTAGAATGGTACTTTGTATCAAACGTATTACATTTGATAAAACAAGTACCAATATTAATTTTGTTATTCCACTTGGATGTCCTCCTTAAAATAAAAGCGATTTTCAAGTTATAGTCGGTTATTTGAGGAATATAGTTAGTTAATCGAGTACATGACACAATTCAGGAGGTTGATTTTTAGTTTTGAGGAACATTATTTTAAAGGAAGCAGCCGATTTTGTTTAAGGATCTTTATAACGGTATCTGCTGAGAAATACCATTGTTAAATCAAATTATGCAAGCTGCTTAATACTTGAGCGTTATTCTATTAGCTCTATTTTTTCTCTTAATAAGAGAAGAAGTTCATGTTCTGTTTTTACTAAAAAGTTTTTACTGAGATGAACTGCAACAAAATGTTCAGCTACAAAGAAGAATCTTAGAAGCAGCTTTCTTAGAAGAAAAATCTAGAAGTATTAAACTACTTTGTTAGTGGAAATGGCGTCGCTGGTGTTGGTGTTGCCCAGTACGGTAAACTTTTGGTGTCACCTATCGGGCCAACGATACGGGTTTTGAATTTCTAAAAAAAACGGTTGGGGCATACCAAATACAATTTTTTGATTTTGAAAAGACGAAAGATTTTTTTGTGAAATGAAGAAATAGCAGAATTATTAATAAACATTACAATGTATAGTCAGTTTGGTTACCCCCACGTAACTACGATACTGAAAAAAGCTGGTTGGGTGTCTATGAAAATGGCCACTTTTTTAACGCCTACAATTGTATTATGTTTGAAACTATGTTTGAAAGAATCTATAACATTTATATTCAAATAAAGTGATATATATATTATCAAAGCTTGGTGTTTTATTTAATAGTCATGTAATACAGTTTTCTGATTATATTCTGACGTAATTACCTGCTTCGTTATAGTTGATTAGAGAATAGAACAACAAAACAGTTACACATACAGACTGTTATGTATAGTATAATATACTATATATATTGAATAATAATATACTATATATATATTGAATAAAAAGTAGTTTGATTATATATGCTATATATAATCAAACTACTTTTTATTCAATGTTATTTAGAAATAATTTCAAAAATAAGAGATATTATTATTTCAAATTAAAAAATTGTATGGTTTTTTAAATTTATTTAGTGATAAAAATGGTTAATAAATGATTTTTATAAAAATTGTATAAAAAATTGCTATAATCGTCAAAAAAAGTTAACAGTTCGTTTTCCCGAAGAAATCATTTACAAAAGCAATCGATTCGTTTCGATACAATAATGGAAATGGATAGTGGAAGCAATGAATGTAATAAATTTCGCTTTAGGATTTGCTCAACACGTGATTATTTTACTTTATTCAAACAAACTCCTCACTCTTTTTCATCACAAAATTACGTGCAACAGCGCAAGTGCGTTCTCATTATAGATACTGTTACTTAAGCAAGTTTTATTGCTAAGATATTGAAAAAAAAATTTGAATGACAACCTTGTCATCAAAAAACTGGCTTTACAAAGCAAGATGGTTTTTAAAATAAATACCGATTGTACTCCAATCTTGACCATGCATGTAATTGTTTTTTTTGAAAGCTTGACCACGGCTTTTTAGATAATTAAAAGAGCGCTGAAAAAAACCGACAAAGGAAAAAAAAAATTAAACAGGCTAAACTATGTAAAAAAGAGAAATTAAGAAAAAAATTAAAACCTATAGCTATAAAAAAAAAAAAACTACTGTGCAAGGCCGGCGGGATAGAAGGGTGTCACACCCCCTCCCCCATCAATGATTTTTAGTCGGCAAATTTGACCCTTAGTCAGCAAATTTGACCCTTTTTTACTAGTTAGTCGGCAAATGTAGACGTCAATAGATAAGTCGACAGGCAGTCGGCAAATGTCGTCGTTGCAAATTTTTTAAAACGAGGACCTTTTTTTTTTTTTATGTTTTAAATTATGGATTCTGTAAAAAGTTTATAAAAAAAATATCGTTTTCGTTGTTGTTTATAAAATTAATTGTACTAAGTTTTTAAAAACATTTATATTCATCGTAATAAATACACTTTTTAACGTTATCTTTCAATAATTTAAATAAATGTTTTTTTTATAGTAAACAATCTTTAAAAGCAATTTTTGGCCTTATTACCTTACAGATCTACTTTATTTAGCACATTTTTCAAACGTTTTTAAAACTTTAGCCGTGGTTAAGTTGTCACAAAAATAATAATAAATACGTGGCCAGGAAACTCCTTAGATACTCAGTTAGCAGTTTAAATAAATATCTTTTAAGAAATATCTAAAAATTAGTTTTATATAAAGTTGGTGGGACCCAGTAAAAAGGGTTTCTTGCAGTTGCTTCCTACTCTTATTTCATCCCTACATTTTTTTTTCTTATTATCTGCTCTCACACTTTGCTTTTTCTCTTTAATCTTTCTTCTATAAATAGCCTGTAATCCACCAATAAAATTTAGTGTCTTAAGTTTTAAAAGTTTTAACCAAATAATAAAACAAATCTGAAACCATTAATCTTTGTTTCAAAACGGAAACCGTCACTGATTATAAACATTGCAATTTTGTTCATAAAGTACGCGGTTTGAACAAATAAGATTATTTGCTTTTATGACTTAATAACTTTAATCTACTTTAATCCTGTTTTTTTTTTGTTATCAAAGTAAAAAGTTTTGCAGTTACAGGTTAAAAAAAAATTATATCAGTCGACCTATTATATGTAAATGTCTAGAGTTAAAATTCATCACAGCTACTGTGAATGTGAAATGAATAAAATTTTCATTAGTTTTATAAAATACAACCTTACTAAATATATCATATTTTATCCGAAAAACCTACTTGCATAATATGATTCCGTCTCTCAGTTTATCTTGAACAGCTTGCCGTCCGCTAACGTTCCCTAGCTCTGAACCTCCTAGGACAGCATTTATCCAATCGACAGCCTCTTTTTCAGACGCAGGGTCGTATTTTGCCTCAAGCTAAAGAGAATATTTATTTTGCTGTTAAAAAACCTACAAACAATAACTTTAGTTTACATATTGAAAAGTATCAAATTAAGAAAAAGCATTTAACAAAATAACAAAATTGATAAACTAAATTAATTAAGTTTTAGTTTAAAAGTTTAGTTTAAAAATTAGAAATTTGTAAGTTAGATTTTAAAATTTTAACGATCAAATAACTGAATTATAAATGTTTTATTATTAGATTCAAAATATTTTTAAGTTTTATTTAAAATGTTTTAAACAGTCAAAAAGTTTTAAAAAAAAGAACTGCTTTTGGGATTAGTTCATTTAGTGGATGAACAAAGACAAAAATTATTAGGCTCGCATACCTTTTTTGTTGTTTCAGCAGTTAAACCATATCCTTTCTCTCTAGTGTTTGCCATATTTTTAAAAAACTAAACTTTTTTTGTAAGGAAAAAAACTTATATATGAATAACACAATCAACAACAGCCAATACTTCTAATAAGTTCTATAATTGGCAAGCTAGTGCTAAAAACACTGTGATAAAAAAGTTATTTCCACCGCGTGGGTTAAACTGTTTGTTTATTTTTTTCTATTACTTTTTTCAGACAAAATAGAAAAAACAACCGTGCATGAGCGTTTTAATTATATCTTTGTAAATTTATCCTTACAAGGAAAATATTTCATCAAGTGCTGAATATAATGCGCATGTGTGACAATCAATTATATTGGACAAATATTTTTAAGTATCTTGAATATTTAATAAACGTCGACAATACTCCTCCTTTTCTAATAAAAAGAAATTAATTTTTTCAACAATGTTATTTTAAAACAGCTACAAAAAAAAAATTCTTGACTTGCGTAAACAAAATGACCTTCTCAATGATTGCGTAAAATTTGCGTAAAAACATTTTTAAATGAAAAACATTTTTCATTTAAAATGTTTTTTTTAAATTTTAAATCTTCGAGTGACAGGAAAAACTAATTAAGTAACGAAAAAGAACAATTTTGTTTAATTTATGTGTATTATGTGTAATTTACATTTTAATAACTTTTTTAATGTGAAAATTTCATTTTTGTTCAATAAATATTTTAAAATTTGCCTAATTTCTTGCCGCTTGAAATTCCGTGAAATTCACCAATGGGTATGATGTAATTCATCTCCGAATATGACGCAATTCATCTCAGTACTGATGACTATCTGCTGGGAAAGTTGATGAAGTAATGTACTTTGTGTACAAAAACATCTTTCCTACTTTTTGTGCTTAATGAGTTTTCCAGTCACCCGAAAAATCGTGATTAAAATATTGGGCTTCAAAATACGTTTTACATCGGCAACCACCTTTCCATTGTCTTGAAAGGTTTTAGGTTTCATTGAATTTTGAACTAAAAAAAAACTTTTGTTTGCAATAAAAGAGAGTGAAATGGTGAGTGCAGAAACCACTTCAGTTACAAACTTCAAATTTTTCAGGAGAAAGAAAAAGCGTCATAACTCCTCCGCATTTGCAAATGTTTTAACCTTTTTCTTCCTCTGTGATAATGCGTGTTATGCAAAAGATTTATACAAATTTGGAGGAGTTATGACGTTTTTTTTTATCTCTCATTCAGTTAAAATATTTAGTAAGCATAAATTACGCTACTTTTGGAATAAGCTACGTTACTATATACAAAAATTACGCTGACAAAATTACTTATTAAAAAGGTTTTTACCGAAGAATGTGAATTTTGAAAAAAAAACTTTTGAAAAAATTTCTACTTGATGGTTACTGCATGCTATTTTTTTATATATATTTTAAATATAATAAATAGATTTAATTAAGTAATAAATATATAATTAAAATTCAGTAAAGTACATTTATTTTGCATATAAATAATTTACCCAGTGGGCACGGACGTAAAAAAGACGTCTTTAAACGTCTTATACACGTTTTGAACGTCTTTTGAACGTATTTTGAACGTTTTGGACGTCTTTTGAACGTTCACAAGACGACTATTTTTTTGGTCCGGTTCCCACTGGGTAGTCTATTCGTAAAAACAAGTATAACTTGTTCTAATAAACTTTTTATCATCAGTGTAAATTTCTATGTTCAGTTATCATACAACTTTGGTGATCTAAAGATATCATATCATACAGTTATCATTCGACTTTGGTCATCTAAAGATTAATTGGAAAACAAATTTCTATTTTCCAATATAAATATAAGTTTATAATGAAAAAAGTAAATTGCAAAAAATCATTCTTATGTCAGACATTTTTCTTTTTTTTTTTAATTTTTTTTTTCTTTTAGTGTACTTTTTTTTTTTAATTTTTTTTTTCTTTTAGAATAAGTGAAAGAATATTAAATAACATTCCATTTATTGGCTGTACAAAACACAGCATGGTGTTCAGTGTTTTAAATTAAGTGTTATATTACAAACAATCATAATAATAAGAAAAGATAAAGAAATTAAAGTAATCTAATTTAACATAACCAAAAAATTTGTCATTGATCTCGCGTTTTAAAGTTTATCCGAAATATTTCCTTATTTGATACTGATTTTATAAAAACAATTTTCTTAATTCCGTTTATACTTGTAAACTCAATATAGATTGCTCTTAATGATTTTACACACAAATTTACACAAATACATACATACATAAATACATAAATATATATAGGGGATAGTGGGGTATCGGCGAACACCTCAGCAAAGATGCAAATTAAAGACACCAGTTATACGAAATTGATCATATTTATTGCTCATTTAGTAAAACTATTCAGTCACAAACCCTCAAAAGCAATTTTTATAAATCTTATTATAAAATAAAAATTTAGGGCAATAATAAAACAAACTGTTTTTTCGGAACTAACGTATATTCAATATTAAGCGGCTTGTTGTTTCCTCCAAGTTTTTTTTTTTTTTTTAAACAACAATCATTATTATATATTTCAAAAACAAATAACATTTACATGTCTCCAGTTTATATAAATGTCCACTACAAATATTTACAATATATAAAGAGCGTTAACAAGTTACATTAGGCCGGGTGAATAAAAAATTGCTTTTATTCAGTAATTGGTCAGCATTACGTGATTTTTTTTTTGCTCAAACTTTTATTTGCGTAAAGTTAAGCAATTTACTCAGGAACTGTTCAGCTATACGTGAATAAAACCTTAAAAAAAATTGCTTAAGCTTTCATTCATGTAAAGCTGGCCAATTACTGAGTAAAAGCAATTGCTTGTTTTTATTCACCCGGCCTAATATTTAAAGAGCGTTAATTGTTTTACGCATGCGCATTCGACATTGAGTTCAAATAATAAACATAAATTGTAGTTTAACAAAATGGTCCTTCTAATTGCGTGTATAATCAAAGTATTTCGAAGTAATTAAGTTCGAATTTTCAATTTTCGAAGTTTATATTTTCAAAGTTCAATTTTTCTTCAAAGTTTTTTTAATTAAAAGTTTGCTATTTTTTGCTTATCGCAAATTATCTTTTTAAACTGTTTGACGCTCTCCAACTTGTAGTTCTACAATTATATTAAAAGTTTTATAATCAACATTTTTATTCACAAAGAGGAAGAGAAATGAATAAACTTTTATAATAACAGAAAGCAAAAAAAATGTTATAATACATTTAATCGTTTTAATAAGACGCGAATTGCAAATTGAAGTTAGAAAGTTAGTTCAAAGAAGTTAGAAGTTAGTAGTTCGAAGTAATGAAATTCGAATTTTAAATTTTCGAAGTTTATATTTTCAAAGTTAAAAAAAAGTCTGTTGAGCACTAATTTATAGTTCTAGATTTAGTAATTACAAGTTTTTAACAAAAATAATAATTCACGACATTACCTGATTAAATATCAGAGAGTAAATAAACAAACATTCAATATATTATCACGAAACATTTAGTTGTGCAACTTGAAAAAAGCCTCTCTACAAGTTAAAAAATGGCTCATTGTGGAAAGAGTTTGAAAAAATAAAGGCTCCTGATGATGCACCTCCAGGTGAGCGTGATCCTTCTGGTAAGTGTTAGGAATGCGGAAAAACAGTGGTTCCATTGATATTTCTGATGATTAAACTTAATTTGTACAATGTAATTTGTAATAAAAATCAATTACAAGCAATAATAGTTGTTACAAAGAATAAAATCTAAAAAAAGTTTTATATATTTACTTTTCTGTTTTGCATAAATTTACACTCTTAAATCCATTAAAAATGGTCTATAACTCGGTTTGATATACATCTTGAAAATTTCGGAATACTTCGAAAAAAAATCAAAAAAATTTGAAATACTTAGGAAAAATTTCGAACATTTTCGAAGTCCGAATCTGCTTTAATTGACTTCGAAACTTTGACTTCGATTTTCGTAGTTACAAATGTTTACTTTGAAACTTCGACTTCGAAAGACTTCGTCACCCGTAATGCAGAAGCTTTTATTAAATAGGGACCACGGTATACAATTGAAAATCTCGAAAAATTTGTTTTTTTATGGGCAACGTAAAGTTTCCAGTTCCTTGTGTGATATATCTGTTGGCGTTGGTTTGAAAAAAGTTATTAAAAGTTAAAATGAGTTGGGACAAGTCCGAGCTTATATTTGAGCATAAATAAAATATTTTGATAGATATTAATTTGATAGATATTTAAAGTATTCAAGTTTTCAAGAAAAGGATCGCCATGAGCAAATTTATTCTTATTATAAATCAATCTTCATGCGTGTTTTTGGTGTATATATAGGGAACTTAATTTAGATTTATTTGTACTTCCCCAGGCAATATTAGCATATATTAGGTAACTTTGTATATAAGAAAAATAGAAAATTTTTAGATTTTCCTGGGAAAGTATAGGTTTGACTTTGATAAGTATACTGATACTTTTTGATATTTTTGTATTTAATGTTTTTATATGGGCTTTCCAAGACATTGCTTCATCAATAGTTATCCCAAGATATTTAATAGTTTCAGTTTTTTCGATGTTTATGTTATCAATTTATAATAATGGTAGAATGCTTGGTATTTTATTTTTTTACTGGTTGGAATGAAACAAGATGTATTTTGTTTTTTCTGTATTTAAGATAATTTATTTACTTTAAACAAGTTGTCGTCCATAAAGTACGTACGATCATAGGAGGGAGGGGGGAGGTTTTCAAAAAGCGTACGAAATCGTATGGGGGAGGGGGAGGGTTGAATATAAAACGTACTACTAATTTAAAAAAGTAATTTTTCTTAGCTAATGCTTGTTTTTCTAACTTATCACCATTAAGAAATACTTAACTATAACTTGATGTTTTTCATTAAATAACTAGATAGTTTTGAATATAATAATAAATAATTTTTTTTTTAAATAATAAAACCATGACCGTCACTATGAAATGACAGTTAGGAAGGGAAAGAAGAATGCTTGCCTAAAAAAAGATCAAGTTACAATTTTTTTTGGAAACTTTAAAGTTCTTTTTACTAAAGGAGCTTAAAAATTAGTAAAAGAGATTTAGATTTAACAATAAAAACGTAATAAGTTTTAATGGGCTTGATAAAAATGTTGTAGGTTTTTCGTTTCAAATAAACGGGCAGACACGTTTATTTGGCACCTCATAGTAATCGTTTA